AGCTTGCTCAATCTACCTGCAGTGACTGATGCAAAACCATCTTATGCAAAACCCAAAGGAATGGAAACATATTTTACAACTGTTTCACTAATGCACTGTTGTATGCAAAGTCTTAAAGTTATAAGTGTTAAAGTGAATATGTTCATAGAGCATACCTGAAATACCTTAGGTGATTCTTCAACCTTTTGGGGTTGATGTAGGTTGCCGCTTCTGGATGTGGACTTTAGTTTTCAGCGATCTGTTTCTTTGGCACTGACTGCATGGGAGGGAGCTGCAGGGATGGGGAGAGAGTGGGCGGGCCACTGTGGTTTGGGATTAGCCAATTAGTGGGCATCCCTTTCTTTCTGTGTAGGCTTGGCAGGGTCCAGGGAAAGGGGACATGCTTCAAGACCATCATGGAAGATTAGAGTTGTGTGGTCAGTATAGTTAGGGGAAAAGGGGTTTTCTACATATCAGCAAAACAATTTTCCTTGCCATCTAAATTTCCATTACACTGTTCTCTTACAGAGAAGGAAGATTTTTTTGTATATCTTTATTGAAAAAGTCCTGAGTAGAACTAAATTGTCTTCCTAGGATGGAAGATATGTGAAACACTTGGATGAGGTATTGCCTTCTGGTTTATTTAGCTTAGAAAATCATTCCAATCGCCCGCTTCCCCAGAAATGTTTGAAGTCAGTTGAAAACTTATAGGCATTGGTCCCCACACCCTGCTCCCAAGGAATGGCAAAGACTTCAGCTGTATGTTATAGAGAAAGTTGTATATTTAAGAATGATTTAAAGGGAACAAAACTTTATTTAAAATTCCTCATGTTTCTTGTAGAGAGGCAAGGCTGTGGGTATGTCTGATAATGTAGAATCATGTAGCTTGTCTTGGAGTAGTCCACCTGATTGTGACCAGCTGGAGGAGATTTATAGGGTTGGTGTCCGTGGTCTGTGAGCCTCTTCTGCCATCTCATCTCTTCTTGGAGCTAAAGGCACTCAGCACCAAGTGAGTGTGGATGGCAGAAAGGGCCCGGTAGCAGTGGAATGATTTGCCTGCCAGGATCTATTATGGGAAGATTTTTAGTTTAAAATCTGAATATTGTACATAAGAAATCATGAGGACTCCCCCCCCCCCCAAATGCCCAACTTCCATCAGTAGGAGTGCATGTCTGTTTTCAGTGAGGGTCAGAAGGGTGGAGGTATGAAGACTTGCTCTTTTTCAGGGGTCTGTCAGGCAGAGATGGAAGTTCATCCTTTTCCCACCCCATCCTTGTTTGGAATGCTGTGGACTTTGATTGAGAGAGGATTCTGTGCTGCTTCTCAGGCAGCTAGGTCAGGGCTCTGGCACTCGGGTGGAGGTCATTGTTAGCGGTCAGCCTGGCTGGTAGGTGGAATACCTGACCACTGAGCCTTTGGTAATCTTATTTTTTATAGTGCGTACTCTTCATTTTCTTTTTCCACATTTATTTTGTAAGAAGTTTAGGAATATTTTTGCATGGATCATTGTAAACAGAAGATTCCTTATTCCTAATGTCTATTAACATAGAATGTTTACTGATAAGTACTTTAAATTGCTTTGTGAGCACTTAACTTGTGTGTGTGTGTGTTTGTGTGTGTGTGTTTGTGTGTGTGTGTGTGTGTGTGTGTGAGAGAGAGAGAGAGAGAGAGAGAGAGAGAGACATGAGAGACATGTACCCCAGGCACATAATTTGTGTCCATTTCCACAAATATGTGTTGGTAATTGTATTGGTTTGCAATATCAGTAGGGTTTCAGGGACTTAACTGACAGAGAAGGCAGTTTTCCCAAATTGAGTGGTAATATATGAGTAGAACAATATTCATAACTTTAGTGTATGCTTTAACAAAGCCCCACACAAAAATGGAAACATGTACATTCCCTGTGCCTATAAGGGGCAGAGTCATATGCATTCTGGAGGAAGTCCTAAGAAGTTACATGAACTATCTCCAGACCTGTGTGAGGCCGGCAAACACAGGGTGTTTCCACAAGCACTAAGGTGAAGGGTAAAGAAGAGTGGGTTGCATCCCCTTCTCCTGTGTACATCAGCTTAATAAACATTTTGCTTCTCTAAAATTATTTTAAAATCTTTTTTTCCCTTTTGTGAAGTTGAACTAAGAGACTATCAGATACTTTGGCATTATATATCTAGTAGAAATCTTTCCCATTTTGACACTATCATTTCATCAGTTTATGAAATGTGTTGTTAAAGAGAGTTTATCTGTCAGATAAGAATCTGAATTTGAGTAGTACCAAAACTGTCATAGGTTGTAATTTTTAAAACATTCAGTTCTAGTAAAATTAATTAAGGGCTAGAACCTGGGTCAGTATTCTGTTACAGAGCTGTATAATTTGTTATCGCAAGCATATTGTGGAACATTCCCTGAAATTTTGCTTTTTGTGTATGTGACATTCCTTATTTGAGTGTTCTTCAGCTGAATTATTGTTCTTTTTTAGTAACTGAAACAGGCAAACAAAGGACCTAATTCCTGTAAACATGGATGTCATTATGAATATAAAAAAATGTTTATTCTTTTCTCCCCTGAGGTGTGGAAGATGTGTTCATCAGCTTTGTAGCTGCTGTTCCTCTCTGCTCATAGAAATCTAGTTTGGATGTGGTCTGGAAGCTGAGTGTTTAGAATTGAGTTATCTATGAGCTTCTTGATTCTGAGGTGAGGACACCTTTGGGGCCCGGGCCAATCATGGTAACAGGCACATAAGCTCTTCCAGAACCTTTTATGTCTCTTGTGGTCCATCTTTCAAGAACATTCTTGATGATGTGGTTATTAGGCCTATGAATTGCTATTGGGTGACATTTCTTGTGTGCTATGCAAATGTAGTATTCATAGGAGGTAGAGAGGTCCCCAGCCCTGAGCTGGGTCCCTGGCCTCTAGAGTGTCCTGCCCTTCCCCAGCAAGGCATCTATGCTTTGCTTCATCTGGTAGCTTTATCCTGCTGTGACAGGGGAGGTCTAGGAAGTAATTTGCATGTTTATTGGGGGACATGTCAGTGATAGGAAATACATTGGAATGCCCTGGCATCTGGCAGTGTTGTCCCCACGTGGGCTTCGTGTACCCATGGGCTTCATGTGCCATTGGGGAGTGGTAAAAAGCTGCCATGCACCAGCTGTGTAAATATTGGAACTCCTTTACAGAGGGAGCTCAGATGTCACCTCTCCTTTACAAACATTTGAAAACAGTATTACTCTGATTAGTTGGGCCACCTTTTTATCTGGCAGCATTCGCTGCTCTAGCTGTTGTTGGCCTAGCACTGCCCACACAGCCTAGGGTCTCTCATGGGTGCAGTGGCAGGAGGGACAGCAGCTGGTCCTTCTCTCTGGTGCTTTCTAAAAGGATCTCTAAAGTTTAGGAGTGAGGTTGGCTTCAGGGAGAGCAGAGTTCAGCTCTTCTGCCTAGCACATCTCCCAGGTTTATGTCTGTTTTCTCTGAGCTGCTTACTCCACCTGAGCTTACTGAAGGGTGGCTGACCTTCAGATACACTGCAAATGACACTCTGAGGTGGATGTGGCTTTGGTGGAAACTGCAAAGTTGGTCTTGCATGGTTTAGAGGGTTTGTCTCTTTTCCCCGCTCCCAATCATTTGAAAAATGAAAAACATAGGATAAGCAGGATTAAATAAAGTGTAGTCAGTTGGGACCGGGAGAAGAGTGACATCTCTGTCAGGGAGTCCTGATATACTTCAGGCAGGGTGAGATGTCCCAGAGTGGTGCAGCAGGCAGCCCCTTGGCTAGGGTGGCACTATGGGTTCTGGTGCAGAGCGGTGGGCCGTAGAATAAACTAGTTGGGCCAGATCTGAGACTGCTCTTAACAGGGTTGCTGTGATGACCACTTGAAGGAAAGGCCCCAAGGAGGCTCATGGACTGTAACTGAATAGGAAACTGTCCCACACCCCCTTTTTTTTAAATGATTTTTAAATACTGTTTTTTACACTGTTCTCTTGGTACTTTTTTTAAGCTTAAGTCAGCATTGTCTTCCAGTGTTAAGGCATCCCTCGCCTCTGCATTGAACTTACGTGTCAATAAAAAGGAATGGACCATCCATTCTGAGCCAGTTCAATTAGGTGTAAATTCATACTATTTTAATTTTTTATGCAATCTGATGAGTAGATGAGCTCAGATTTAAAATTCTTAAAGCACGTTTATTGTAACAAGAATTGTTATGTATTAATACTGCAGTTTTCAATAAAGATTGACTTGTGTTGCATATTTTGGTTTTCATGATTCTTTTCATTGTAGGTTTTGTTTAGAGGTTGCTTGGCCTAATAGAGAGGTGCTATATCTTTCCACAAGTTAGGAGACTGCTAGGGGTTTGGGGAAGGTCATGTGGTCTTCAACCCCTTGGAGGCAGTGGATTGAGGGACTGTTACCAGGTGGTTTGGGAAGGAGGCAGTTCGGGCTCCTCTTCTGGCTTCTGTAGCCAGGGTCCACCTGGGAAGTCATTCATATCCTTCCCCATTTCAGCAGGGAGAATGCTGAGGCCCAGAAAGATGGTGGACCCCAGTCCCTCAAAGTCATATATGCCAGCTCCAGCTGAGCAGTCAGGGAAGGAATGGACCTCCAGGTCTTGCAGACTGTCCTCCCAGCAATCCTTGGCCTCTGCAGCATTGACCCCAGTCTTCAATAGAGCCACCCCTACCCCATACCTCTGGAATTTCTTGGCTCATGGTATTCCTTTTTTTTTTTTTTTTTAATATCAGGGATTGAATTCCGGGGTTTCACCACTGAGTCACATCCCCATCCCTTTTTATGCTTTTATTTTGAGACAATGTCTAAGTTGCTTAAGGCCTTGCTAAGTTGCTGAGGCTAGTCTTGAACTTGCAATCCTTCTGCCTCAGCCTCCTGAGCTGCTGGATTATTATAGGCACGCGCCACCATGCCCCCAGCTCATTCTTTGTCTCTGGGGAAAGCCCAGGCACAGAAAGAACAGGTGCACACACACACGAGAAAACGCACACACCAACAGAACGCAATGGCTGGAGCCAGATTACTTTTCACAAGTTTCTTTATGAAATTAAATGTGGCTTCTGGCTTGGAGAAGGTATAGTGCAAGAGTGACTGTCCATGCTGCTGAATCCTGTAGGGTTCCACACTGACATGCCAGGCCTGGCTGTGCTCCTGGCGCCCTTGGGCAGGATGTGGGTGCCCTCGCCACATGTCCATTGCCTGGAGTGGTCGGGTCAGTCTGGATGCTGTTGGCCCCAGAATTCAGTCCTTATGGCTTCTCACGCTCACTAGGGTAAGGCAATCTTTCTGTGTCACAACAATTAACTGTTTTTCTTCATTGTTAGAAAAACAAGAGGACAAAACCCCAACAAAAACAGGAACCAGGTGGTTCTGCAGCAACCCCACAGCTACAGATGGAATGGTCACAAAACCCCGACCAAAGTATGTGGCTGACTATATGGTTTTGTTCTTCCCACTACACAACATCACGAGTGAAGAGGGTGACCAACAATGTCTAGAGGGGCTGGGAGGTAAAAGGGCAGGTCTGGGCCAGATATTTGGGTAGAGAATTTCTGGTTCCTGTACTCCAAGGTTGCAAGTGGCCTGAAGGGACACAGCCCAGCTTTGTAGGTGGCCACTGGCCATAGAGTAGGTCTCTCCTGCCTGGAGGAAACAGGAGTGGGGATGATTAGATTTCCAAAGAAGCGGGTCCAAAGCAGCTAGTGCCTTCTGCACCCCGGCCTGGTAAGTGGTTCTGAGCGGTGGCTTCCCGGCTCCTGGTTAGTGAAGGCCTCACACAGGTCCATAGTGTGGACAGAAGGGGAGAGGGTCAGAGGTCAGGCTGCAGGAGGGGCTTGTATGTGCCAGGGCCCTGCCTCTCCCAGCTGGTCACTTCATTCACCAGCAGCAGGGAAGAAACCAAGCATGGGAGCACAAACCTGGTGTGCCCTGGGGGCACCAACACCTGCACACTTCCAGTTTGCAAGACAGGCAGAGAAGGATGGCCAGATGGAGTGGTCCTCAAGGAGGAAAAGCTGGGGGCTGAGGATGGGCAGGTCCACAAAGTGCTGTCAGGTGGGTACTGGCTCACTTGCGGAAGGGTGCCAGCCGGCTAATGCTGTGCCAGAAGGTGGACGGCTTCCGCCTGGGCTCTGCCAGCACCAAGACCTGCTGTTGGGGCCGACTGGCAGGCAGTAATGGGTGCTTCTGGCGTGTCAGATAACAGGGCCGGCCTACGGCTAGGCAAAGAGAAACAGCAGGGTCATGGGTGCCCCAGCGTCAGGTGGCACAGGGTGGAAGGCAGAGGGGCCCGTTCCAGAACCTCAGTTCTGCCACATAGGATTTGTTTCCCAAGGGGTTGACCACATCCTGGGGCCCAGTCTGCCTGGAGCCTCTTGGCCTGGCCCTGACCTACTGCAGCCTTCAGAGATGATAGATGACCAGGGGCCCTTCTAAGGCATGTGATGTTGGCTCTTTCTATAGCAAGGGGGAAGGTAGCTGTGAGGGTGCCTGTCAGCAGCCTAGGGAAGAAAAGCACTGACATTAACGGTGCCACAATGCTGAGGTCAGAGGGGTCAAGATAAAGAACAATGTACTGACCCAAGCTTCCCCTTATCACCAACCTTTGGGAACATAATACCTACAAAGGGCAGTGGGCACCTCTGGGAACCTGGTATTTAGGTGGCTTTGCTTTTGGGGGTCAGACAAAGATGTAATCAATGACAGAGGTGTCCATAGGTGGGTCTACTGTCCACTTACCTTTGGGCTTCCCTGTGGCTTGCTGCTTGCTGGCATTCAGCATGGCCTGCTTTCTCTGTAGTTCAGTGATGGAGAAGCCTGGGGGGAGGTATACATAAGGACCCATATCCTCCTCCTCCCCTGCCTGGGTGCAGTCTTCCTAGTGTTCTGCTCCCATATGCCTCAGGGTTTGTGCCCTTAATATAGCAAGGGCTGTTCCTTGTCCTGCTCAGTCAGCTGGCCCTGCCAACTATGGCAGAGAATGAAGATCCCCGAGTCCTCCCACTGTGCCCCACATCTCTTGCCTTTACCTGATGTCTGGCCCTCACTTTGCGCAGTGTCTAGGTGGATGCTCTTTCTTCTACCAAGAGCAACCTGGCCACTGAGTGAATAGGAGGGGGAGAAGCTTATTCTCATGGGGCAGGGGAGGATTCTGGAGGCTATTACCCACCTTCCCCTCCATGTTTCCTCAGGGTTCCAGCTGGCTTTAGAGCATGTTCATGGTTACATGTGCAAGTCTGTGCAGTGAAGCAACATCCACTCTACCCCATGCAGGCCAGCAGACCCGTGTTCTGGGGCCGTCTACTGAGAAAGGGCCACTCCTGCCAGTAGAGTGAGGGTGGCCTTGCTTACTACTAGGACCAAGAGATTCCTGGAGCCCTAAAACTCCTGGATGAAATACACTGCCTCACTTTATCAAGGTGATTCTGACTGCCAGGCAGCTAGGCCAGGCAAAAGGGCCAGGTCGGCCCTAGAGGTGGGGCAAGGCCCAGCAGGGTCTCGCACCTGTCTCCTGGTCCAGCCGCACCTGCTCCCTCTCCCTGGCAAAGGCCTTGAGCCAGCGCTGCTTCTGCTCAGGCTTCCTGGCACATAGTAGGTGGCTGACCCCTGAGGCATTGCAGTGCAGCCGGAAGGCGTTCTTGATGCTCACGTGGAGGTCTCTGTCTTTCCCATCCTCCAGGTCCACCACCTCCAGGCCATCCATGTCCAGCCGGCCCTTGTAGTATAGCACGTCCCGGCGAAGCAGGTCCTGCCAGATGCTGCCCTGAGCTTTGGCTGCCCACCTGTTCACCTGCCCATGTCCCTTGTCTGCCCCCAGCCACCTCCCCAGCAGATGGTGAGCACCTAAAGGCAGAGGGGGCCTTTTGTGACCTATGACTGCTGAACCACCAGTGGAGGAGCCTGCCCTTTCAATGCCCAGCTACTAACTGGGCAGGGGGCAGCCCTGTCTTTGAACTGTATAGTCTGGTGGGAAGACAGACAGACATAGAAACTAAGACAGTGGCCTTATAGGGCACAGTACAGTGGACAAGGAGAACTGCATGGATGGGGGCTTCTAGGCCAGCAGTGCAGAGGAGGCCGGGAGGAGGATACCGCAAAGGACCTCTGGGGTCACAAGGAGAAGCAGAGATTTATAGTAGGAGAATAAATAGGTGACTTGAGGATCAGGCAGGGGCCAGGTCAGGAGGAGGGCATTCTTAACAGTACTGGGCCCTGACTGGACTGAGAGCCATCCTGTGGTCTCACCATCTCCCAGCCCTACGGGCCTGACCATTCCTCCCAGGAATGAGGAATGGCCAGTGTAGGATCTGCCAGTCTCCCTTTCTCGGGGTAGTTGCTCCCAGCCCTTGGCTTTAGTCTCTCCACCTGCTCTGTGGGGCCAATCCAGCAGGGCAGAGTGATGCCGGTACCTTCTTACAGTAGATGAGCTGGTGGTCGAAGAGAAAAAACATTCTCTGCTGGCTCTTGGCTTGGGGCTGTGTAACACGAGTCAGCTCCCCCGAGTAGATGAGTTCTGAGCTTCGGACCAAAAGATCTTCCCCCTGGGGGTCCCCAAGGAGAGGCATGAGAAGAGCACACTCAACCTTGGGCTCTATTTCCTGCCTCTGTAGTGGGTGGGTGGGTGTATTCCCACTATAGTTTCCACTGGGCCAGGTCAAGGGAGGCTGGGTGCTCTTGAAGCCTAAGAAGTATTCTGGTCCCAAAGGTGGGGACTATTGAAGGGGAATGAAAAAGGCGGAAGGATCTAACCTGAGCTGGCTATCCTTGCAAAATAGTGGCTTCATGTGGCTCTTCAGCACTGAAAATGTGGCTAATTCATATTGAGATGTCAGTATAAAATACACACTGAGTTTTAAGACTAATATGAAACAATGTACAATATCTCAATGATATTTTGTGTTGATTACAAGTGGAAATGCTCTTTTGGATATACTGAGTTAAACAACATTGAAATCAGTTTCTTCTGTTCTTTTTTAAGATGGCTACTAGAAAGTGTAAAATTACACATGTGGCTCACACTTTTGATTAGATGGTTCTGCCCTAGTGAAAAAATTAGGCTGGCTGGAATTCACCTCTGTAGCTAGTCTTTAGGAGTCTAAAGAAGGTCCTTTTCTCAGCTATGTGTATTTAGTACCTGAAATTCCATCACTGGAACTTTCAACTTTCTACGTCCTGTCCCTTTCCAATTCTATGAGAGTACAAATCCCAGCCAGCTGTTGGCAACCATTCAGTTTGGGATGACTGAACTTGTATGGGTCCTTAGCCAAGGCTGGGCCTCTGAACCACTAGACCACATTGCCCAGCTGCTCCTTAGGGATTTGCATTCAGTAGGTCAAGGGTGGGGCCCAGAAATCTATCTTATAACGTTCTGTGGCTGATTTATATTGATTTTCAGATAATTCCTTTGACAGCTGGCACAGTGCCACTGTGTGGACAGGAGCAGAGCCTCCGGATGAGGTAGAGTGGCTGGTGGTGGAAGGGCAAAACCCTCCACGGCTCTGGGGAGCAGGAATGTTATCAGTTCAGGCCTTCCTGTTCCCTTAGAAGGCAAGGCTGGCAGTTACCTGGGGAATATGCAAGTCATAAAAATGGAACTAGGGAACCCTGATAGGTAGTGATCCATTTCTGGTCACACTTTGGGGCCTAAATCCAACTGTTGGGAGCCCCAAAATTTCAATAAAACTCAGTGATGTAATCTGTCCCCTGAGGAATAGATATAGTTTAGAACAAACATGCTTCTTCTGTTAGGGCTTCTCCTGGCTGGTGGTGGCTCTTGGGAGGATTGTCTTACCTCACAGGAAGGGGGCCACCAGGTGTTAAAGCTTGGCTCCGGGCAGCACCAAAGACCCTGTGTCTGTACAAGAGAACCTGCTTTTCTGCCATGAGTGCTTGCTTTCAAGAGCCTGGCTCTCTGATTCTGCTCCCAGACTTTTCAGGGATTAGCACAATTTTCAAGCAAAGACCCAGCAGTGTTTTCTGGGCCCTGGGGCCCTCACCTCCCAGTCCTCTATGGAGCTCTGCCACTGAGCAATCTTGTCGATGTTTTCAAGTCTCCGTTTCCGCTCGTTGATGAGCTGGGCCACATTCCTCATGGCATGCAGAGCAGCTTCCACATCCTTGAAGTCCCTGTGGCAGAACAGAGATGGAAGGGCACTGCAGGCTGGAGAGCAGAGAGATGTAGGAGTCTCCCACAGCCCCCTGGGTGGAGCTGACTCTTCCTGGGGCTGTTCCTCTTGCCATGTCTGACTGGTCAAATGCACAATCTTTCTCCTCCTGAATATTAAGCTTAATATCCTCTTTTTAAAAAGAATTATTTTTTTAGTTGTAGATGGACACAATATGTGTGGTGCTGAGGATTGAACCCAGTGCCCCCCATAGGCGAGGCAAGTGCTCTACCACTGAGCTACAGCCCCTTAATATCCTCTTGATGATTCTCTTCCCCCCACTGCGGTGGTAGCTCTTTGAGGACATTGCTTGTTTTATTTGGTGTGTTGTCCAGTACCTACAGCAGAACCCAGCACACCCCAAGTGCTTAACAAACTGACTGGTGCATAACCTCAGGCTACCTCCCTGCTTCATGCCTCCTACCTGTGCTGAGGGTGGGTGTACTTGAGCAGCTCAGCCAGCTGCAGTGGATACTTGCAGATCTTCTGCACTGGAGTCAGCAAGAAGCCATCCAGGGAGATGTCGATCATCTTTTGTAGCAGCCGGCAGGCCTCAAAGAAGTACACATATTTGCTGAGTTTGGTGAGCCGGGACAGCTCCACGCAGGCGTTGGGGTGGTTGTTGCAGTACTCGGAGTAGATCTGGAAGTCTGCTTGCTGTAAGGGCACAGCTGGAGATTAGGATGGCTGTCTTCCTGCTCCCCCAGGCAATCAGCCAAAGCCCCAGGTCCCTGAGAGTAAAGAGCCTCTGATTTATTTTAGGAGTCGGGTCTCAGGGGACACCAGGCACTCTCCACTTACTTAACTGGGCACAGGTATGTGGAATCACATCCAAGGATGGGAAGATCCCGAGAGGACTTGCGTGCTCCTGCCTGCTGCCACCCAGCTTTCTCAGCAAAGCCCTCAGTAGAAACTTCAACTTTTTTTTTTTTTTTTAAATGAAATCAGTGGTGCTAATAAGGAAGGGCTATTATTAAGGCCAAAAGATGAGTGGGGCAGAGGCTGGAAGGTAGAGAGACAGACATCCTTTGCTTAACCCTGTGAGTTTGCCCAGGACAGGGATAAAACAAATTTCTGTGCTTTCAGGTGAGGCTGGAATCTTTCCAGACCAAGTCAATGAAACTTTGGGCATCTGGCATCTACACTGGATGTGGGCCACACAAATTCTAGATTACCCACTATCTGAGGAACCCCAGAACTTTCCCTGGGGCACTAAATAGGTGGCTGGACACATCTTTGCCTTCCTGTCTGGCCCAAGCAAATTCTTCCTGACTGATGCCTGAGACTCCCCTTTGATGACAGTGATTTCCCCCCACCCAAAAGCAGAGACCCTTCTAAGACTGTTGTAGAGCAAGAGGAGCAGGTTGGGGCCTGGTGCACAGATGTTTGGAAGCTTCTGGGAGAACAGCAATAGCAGGTTGCCTGGGCTGGAGAAGGGAGCCAGGTGCAAAGAGAGGTGAAAATAAAAGGCCAGGGTGTGTGGGGAGAGGAAGCATCCCTGGCAGAGAGATAGGTGCTAGACAGGCAGGGCTTAGGGATCCAGATGGAGAATCCAGGGCTTGCTCACGTGCTCCAAGAAGCAGGCGCCCAGCTCGCTTAGGTGTGGGCACTCCCTATTGAATTTCTGCTCCAGGGCCTTCACAAATGCCTTCTGGCAGCGGTAGATGTCCTCGATGTTCCCAAAGATGGTGCGCAGCTGCTCCTCACTGAACATGTCTGCACGCTTGCGGCACTGCCTGATGTAGCCCTTGTGGGGGTGGGGACAGGGGTGGTCAGAGCTCTGTCTCCGTCCTTCTTCCCTCCCTGCCTCACTCACAAGCTGGGTCCCTGCTCACCTCACAGATGTCACGCAAGTGCTTGATGTAGTCCCGCTCGGTGCTGAGAATCTCGTTGATGACGTTTGTCCGCATCTGGTCTTTGCTGCTCTGTGCCTCTGTCCCACCATCTTCAGCCTTGCCGTCGCCAGTCTGTGGGGCCTCCTCATCTGTGGGCTCATCCTGGTTCACCCGTAGCTGCAGGCAACCCGAAGTCAGTCAGTGCCCTGTGGTGGCTCTAGGAGTCAGTCTCTGTACACTGCACAGTGGCAGTGGGGAACTGAGACTCAGAGGACCTGCGATGGTCCTGAGCTAGCTCGGAATCTCCTATAACTGCTGTACAAGGCCAGGATGGGGACAGCAGGTCTAACTGCAGCAGATGGGAGATGGGAAGTGAGGCCACCTGGGACCCCAGAGCTGTTTTGGGTTTGGGGTTTTTGTTTGCTTTGTTTTGCACCAAGGGGCACCGATATTATCCCAAGACCACTGGGGCAGCCTTGGCAGACCCTATGTTCCCCCTGAAGCCTCCCACCCCAACTTGGTGCTTAGCACAGTGCTTGAAAATGTGCCAGGGGTTTCTGAACCAGCACTTGCCATACTAGGCCGTGTGGGGGCTGACTACACTGGGTAGGTGGTGTGGTCTTGCTCGTTCAAACCTGTAACTTAAGGAAAGACTTGGGGCTCAGAGTAGACAGTTTACTTGAGAGTCCTGGGCAGGAAGACACACCTGAACACCAGGGCATGAGGTCTCCCTTCTGGCTGCCCTCAGCCTGGCCCTTTGGAGATCGCACCTGGATTTTTCCCTTGGAGACCAGAGGTCACCTTAGGTGGGACCTGTGTCCCCTCCCTGTGACCTCTTAGCGACTTCATGCCTTGGTTTCCTCAGGTCCCTACCTCCCAGAGCTAGATAAGTGTTAAGTGAGATGATCCATGTAAATGTTCTGTAGTGCTTCATAAAGGCCTGGTAAATCAAGTTCTTCCTGGTGATGGGATTCTACCATGCACATTCCCCTTGTGAGTCATATACTATCATCACACTGTTCTCTCTGGCCTGAGGGCTCGGCAGGAAAGCATTAGCAGCAGGGGACAGAGGAGGTAGTGGCTCTGTAGGAGGAGCAGGCTGTGTCACAGCTCTCTGACACCCACCCATCCAGCCCAAGGCACCAGGTACCAACAAACTGGAGAGGGGGACCCCAGAGCTATTTTGAGCTTGGATGATAATGATTTTGGTAATGGGACTTGAACCAGGGGCACTCTACGACTAAGCTACATCCCCAGCCCTTTTTAAAAAGTTTTATTTTGAGACAGAGTCTTGCTAGGTTTCCCAGGCTTATCTCAAACTTGTGATCCTCTTGCCTCAGCCTCCTGAGTAGTTGAGATTATAAGCATGAGCTACCATGTCCAGCTTGGGCTTGGATTTCTGAGCAGAGCCAAGTAGTTCCTCACGAGTCAGGCAGAAGCACAGGCTGGAACCATACCCGCACAAAGCTGGCTGGAAACCACCCCTCGCCGTCGGCAACGCGGCCCCACCACCACTCTCTGTTGGTGGCATCCATCACTTCGATGACGTCCCCAGCTTTGAAGCCCAGTTCCTGGTCGTCCATGGTGACATGGTCCCAGAGTGCTTCAGCACAGACCACACTGCCATCACTGATGAGCTGTGGAGAGAGCCATGGCAGGTGGGTCAGTGGGGCAGAGCTACCCTGGGCCTCATGGGGTTAGGGCCAGGCTCAGCGCTCCTGTTGTCTATCCTCACCCTCAACTGTCCTGGGAAAAAGAGATCCTGACCTCCCAGCCGGCAGCTCTTTGACAGCAGGGTTGTGCCCTGAGCAAGTTGAGGCTATCAGGGCTCAATAGTAGAGCCAAAAGTGAACTTGAACACACCCCTGCTGAGCAGGTGCTGGAGCAGTTGCCTCTCCGCTTCCAACCCACCTTCAACCACAGTTCAGACACCCACATCAGCTGAGCAGCACCTCTCCTCAGAGTCCTACGCATCCACATTTTACTCATTCCAACCGTTTTCCTTTATTTCCTAGCTTTAGAAGTAGGTATGTGGGGGCTGGGGTTGTGGCTCAGTGGTAGAGCGCTCGCCTAGCACATGCCAAGCCCTGGGTTTGATCCTCAGCACCACATAAAAATAAATAAATACAATAAAGGTACTGACAACTAAAAACTAATTAAAAAAAAAAAGTAGGTGTGTGTTGCAGCTGCTATCATAGATGTCTGTGGTGTTCTTGTGTGCTTTGTCACCAAGTCAACCACTTTTACCCGGTTGACAATTCTCTGCGTTGGTTATTCTCTGCTCAATAACCTATGATATTTTTCTCCTAAGTGGTTGTGGACTGATATATCACAACCAGGCAGCCCTTGCCTGTGGATTTGTTTCCCATTGGGCTGATACCTGCTTTTCTGTAATGTGGACCCTGTTTGTACTCCATGAATGATGAATGGCTCCAGTAGTATTAGGGCAGTAGAGGAGGGGGGGGGGGCTGGGAATTGCATAGAACTGAGGACTGCCACTGTACAGCTAAACAATCAAGGAAGAATTGGAGCATCCCCAGATTGGCCTTCTGCACCAAGCACTCCCGCTTAGCTGCTCTCCACCCACGGTGAGCCCTCCCTTGGCTTCCCTAGGCGCATCCAGGGCTGTGTGCATGCTAATCCTCCCATGGTCATGGGAACCAAGAGCAGGGTTACACCTTTCAGCTGGACTGCCGGTACATCCACCCCAGTTCCAGTCACTGTCCAAGAGGCATCTGTGCCTATGTGGGTAGGGTGAGTGGTAGGCTGCCACTGCAGCACAGAAGCCCACTCAGGCTAGGAGCTGCCTTCCAGGGGAGGTCCTGAGCAGGCAAGTTCAGGGAAGGCCCCACCACTGGTTCTTACTCTTTCTTGAAGGTGACACCTGCACACTTGATGACACCTCTCCTCAGAATAATCTGCAAGCCCATGTGCAAATGTACCCTCACAATGCAGTGACCGTTCCCAAGGCCTATGTGGGGACCCCAGGCATACAGCACTGGGTTATTCCTGGGAGCAGCAGTCTTTAGACCTTTACCCTCATGCCCAGCTATAATGACCTGCACCTGGGCCTGGCTGCAACACAGATGGGATGAAACAGGGACTCGGCGCAACCATATGAAAGCCAGCTGGCTGCACGTGTAGAGCCAGTGTACCTTTGACAAGCAGGCTTTTATGCAAGGTCTAGAAGGATGTGGCTCAAGAGAAAGGAGGAAGTGGACACCCCCGGTGATATAGGTGAGTCTTGTGAGAATGCAGGTGAATGGGCCTGACCTGGGGGAGTAACCCAGACACTCAATGCAACCCAATTCCCACTGACTCTTCTACTAGGTGGTTCCTGCTTTGTCTTAATTGGATGAGGTGTCTCCCTCTGTCCCCAGATCCCTTCAAATGAGCCCTGAGCAAAAGCCAGTCTGGTCCTTTCCTCTATTCAGCAGTCCTTGCAGACCGGTGTGGATATTACATGGGCTGTTTCCTTCATAACTCCTGGGGAAGCTATGGAAGGAGTTGGGGATCTAAAGAGGCAAGGCTTCACAGCGAGAACCGGGTGACAGGTACCAACAGGGGCATGTCCCCATGCCTATCCTGCCCAGAAGTGGGGGTAGGGAGGTGTTAGCCACCTTTGTTGCTTCCTTGTCTTAGAACTGTGTACACACGGCACCTGAAAGACACATGGTTGTGAACAAGTTCTCCAACCTCCCCACGCCTCCTGTCAGTGGCCCAAAACCAGAAGTACTCTAATAAGTTATAGTACTGACATTAGCAATTTCTGCGATTTCACCAAGACACAATGTGATTCAAAGAGGTCAGAGACATGTTTCCTAGGACATCAGATGTGCCTCACCTGCAGGCAGAGGATGGTTTCTGGGCACAGACCTTTTCCGGTGCTCTATCCTAGGTGCAGTTGTCCCTGAAGCTAACACTCCAGCCTGGCAGGACCCAGGGGATAGGACTCCAGGCTGGCCCCCACCTGGCAGGAGAATGCAGAGGTAGACTTTGAGGCACAGGGATGTTTATGTGGAGGGGCAAGTTCAAGACTAAGGCAAGCCAGGGCAGGAGCAGGATCCCTTCCTATATTTTTGAGGTTCTGACTGGCCCTGGGATGAGCAATATTGCCAGGCTCTGCCTAATATTGCCCCCCCCCCCCCATGACCATTGTCACCCTTCCCATCCTGCCTCCTGTCTATTTCTCTTGCAAGGTGGTGGTGGCTTTACAATGTATAGTCTGGGAGTGACAGTCTGGACTCCCCTGCACTGGTATTCCTGTTCAATGTCTACCTGAACAGGAATGTCTACATCTCAAGAAGAGTAGCAGGGGCCCTGCCCCTAGGGAGATTGACTGGCACTACTTATTTTAAGGCCTAAAACGGGAACAGCAACTGCAGGTTGCTGAAGTATCCAGGTATCTTTCACAAAGCTCTCAAAGCGCGCGCACACACACACACACACACACACACACACACAGTACATGCCCAGTTCTGCTCATCCAGTGGTCTAATGCACACAGTTTCCTGACAACTATAGCCAGCCCTGCTACAGCTGTGTCCATACCTACCCCCAGTTATTCACAGAGATGCGCCATTTTAGCTCCCCCACGCCGCATCACAGCACAGAGGACAGACTGGACCCCCGCCCCCCATGGATGTGTGCCACCATGCCCCTGTCACCCACATGGTGGCACTACCGGTACCACCCAAAACCAGGCCTTGTTATTGAGCACATGGGTGGCCGAAGGCCTTATCTCCCCAGATCCCGGTGCGGAGGCTAGGGGTGACAGCTGCTGGCATGCAAACCCGGAGCCACTCACCACAGCGCGGTCCCCCACGGCACGGCACGGCACCGGGTGGGCTGCTTGGCTCAGCGGAAGGCCAGCAGGAATATCAGCACAACATTGATGAGGACGAGGAACACCAGCACAGCGGAAACCACCACGCGCTGGGCGCCGGGGGGCAGGTTGCAGCGTAGCAGGGCGCGCAGGGCGCTCCCGGGCGTCGCGGGGCCGCGCCGGGACTGCGGGCCCCTGGCCATTGCGCCCGGCCTCCTCGCTCTGTGCGGCCCGGAGGTCCCGCCGCGCAGGGCCGGAGCAGGCGGCCCGCAGCGCCCGAGGAGGGGGCGGAGCTGCCGGCTCTAGAGGGCCGGGGCTCCTCCCGCGCCGCCGGCGCCTTGCGCGGCGCTTCCCAGGTCCTGGAGTCAGGGCAACCGCACCGAGTGAGCTGGCGAGGATGGCTGGGTGGGAGGACAGCCGAGGGAGACGAAGGACGGGGGACCGGTTAAGGAAAAGCTGCGAGGGGTCTCGGAGCTCCAGCGTGCGCTGCGCTCTGCTCTTGGCGCCTCCTTGTGGTAGCCAGGAGCCCTCAACACCCGCACAGCTGGCCTGGCACAGATGGCTCAGGGATGCTCTGGGACCTCACAGACTTAGGGAGAGGATGTAGAGGCCAAAATGCCGATCACTGTCCCTTCGGGGAGGAATGGATCAGGAGTTCTGTTCACTAATAAGGCTGCCTTCTGGTCCCCACTTTTCAGATGAGTAAATGCGGCTCTGAAAGATCCCGTAATTTGCTTAGTCATAAAATCACCCAGGACTGGGGATAGCGGAGCCAGGATCTGAACCCTGGCCAGGCCGATTCATGCTAAGGGCTTTTTTCCTCATGACCTCAACCACCAGAGAAACATTGCTCCTTTGGGCAAATAATTGGTACCTTCAGCTGATGTGTAAAAAAAAAAAATCCTTTGTCAACTAACCAGGGGTTCCATTTCCTTCACCAAACAGAGCCCATTATCTTAACTGGGAAGGTTTCAAAACTCTCATGCTTGAGTCTTTCCTGTCCACAACAGAGTTCAGTCAAGGTCAATGTCTCTCTCCAGAATAAAACTGTAGTTGAGAGGGTTGAACATACAGGTCTGAGGTGGGCAGATTCCTAGGCACCAAACTCAGTGCTCTGACTCTGGGATAGGAAGAGTCCCTCCCAAGAGCAAGGGGAAGGCACACAGATGAAATGGTGGAGAGGCTGTGTTTTCACATATGGGTGACTGTCTGTGTTCAGGTTTCTATGTGTATGTGGGTCAGTATACATGTACGCCCTTATAGGAGAGTGTGCCTTCATCCTTCTGAAGACTCCAGGGAAGCTCGTGCCCAGTTCTTGGGTGCCAGTTTGCTCCCCCAAGCTTTCAAGGACTTATGGGGAATCAGAGGGCATCAAAAGTCCCCCAGGCACCGCCAAATCCCAGTGCTCCTCTAAAAACTGTGGGACATACCATTTAATGGGTTGTGGTTTGGAATCCTTGACTTAGAGATGTTTCGTTGTGAATCTGTGCACAGTCTATGTATCCTTGGGCTCCTGGGCACAGCAGGGCAGGGAACTTGCAAGCCATTGTGGCCCTGAGCCCTGCAGGGTCTGCAGCTTCCTACTGTACCATGCACAGCAAGGCTTGTTTTAATACGTTAGTCCAGATCCAAATGTGGGCATGGCCTCTGTCCATGCACAGCATGTCAGCCTGGGAACATGGAATGTGGTAGAAGGACCTTTGCTCTAAGCCAGACTGACAGGGCCCACCCCTCTGACTGGGAGCCCCTAGCCTTTTGGTCCTAAAGGGTTCAGTGTGCAGCAGGAACAATAGCAGCAATAGCTTTTTTGGTGTGAATTGTTCTTTCTTTCTTTCTTCTTCTTTTTTTTATGTGTAAATTTCATCTAAAACAAAAAAAAGGCTTGAAGACAGAAGAAAATGTCCCCATCCCCTTGCGGCTGCTGGTCAGGGACTTGAGGTGGCAGGACAGATGTAGAAGTGAAGGGGAGACAGGTATCTGATGCAGGTAAGGGCTTAGCCTTACCTGTGGCTTCATGATGACAGTAGAGGGAAGAATGCTTATTTTGGAGGTGCTGGTCAGTAGGTGGCCTTGTGGCCCTGGACTGACATGGTAGTGTTAGTTCCAAGGGACTTCAAGGTGCTCCTGCCCCTTTTAAGGAACACCTGAGCCAGGTGGTTGTGTGAGGATAAATGTATCTGGGATACCTACAGGCATTGGACACCTCCCTGGGGCTGGAGTGTGTGTGACATACAGATCAGGCCATGGAATGGTCATAGGGAGCTTGGAAATGACAGAGATACTTTGAGCCAGAGGATCAGACTGAGTCCATGGAGGAGTGGCCAAAAGCTGGCCCCAGGTCCTGTAGCATCCCCCATGTGTTCCATGAAGTTCCATAAGACAAGGATAATGAGATACCTTCTATCCTCGAGTGACCCAATGTCCAAGTTACTGGAATGATCTCACTACCTACTGTTGTGCTGGCTTCATGACAATGGGTGTTCCCTTTTATATTTTAAGCCCTGTTTAAATGAAACATATATCTTGCATGTCTGTCTGTCTACCTTATAGTTTGGGCTTAATCTTCGTTCACTGGGATGATTCAGAAGCAGCCTGTTGGTACCCACCCCTACCAGCATCCTGGAGTGAGGAGTAGCTATATGTGCTACATCTCCATGACCCTTGGAGATGTAGCCTAGAGGAAGCTCCAACTGTTCCCAGGCAGTGAGGTGGTTGGTCCAGACCTTCCCCAAAAACTCCAGAGCCACACCTGTCTCCCCCTGATCATAGTATGTACCAGAACCACAAACATCATGGAAGGGCCACAGCTGGGTGGCTTTGGAAAGGGAATGTCTTATGGCAGATGTGATGGCCCAGCCCAGTAGGGTGAAGCAGGAAGGGGAAAATGGACAGGCCTAGTGCTAAGCCACAGACATCTAGGGAAGGCTCTAGAAGGGACAAAGCTGAAAGGAGACAGGAACACTTGTGGGCGCTGAGGACACTCAATTTCTACATTCATTGATTTATCTTGCAGGATCTGGATAGTCATAAAGGGCCAGACACAAATATGAGCAAGGAATACAGAATGAAAACTCTGGGCCTTCTGTGTGTCCTGAGGGCACACACACAGAGAAAGATAAATGCCCTCACACAGCTCTGTTCCTGGACGGCCACCTCTTGGCAGGCAGGATTGTGCCTTCTGTATATCTGCCTCCTAGGGCTGCAGACACTGTTTGGCACACGGTAAGTACTCAGCATACACATGTTACATGCATACCACATGCACAAATATACATCACACCCATAACAGTCCTTAAATACCCAGAATGCAGACTGCCTCTCAGCTCTCCCCTGTCTACCGCTCTCTAGGACAGATGACTTAGGTTTCCCTTTCTTAGGAAATTAAGAATTGCTTTCCTCTTCTAAGGCCAATATGAATAAGAAATTGCCACAATTTGGAACAAGACACCCATGTATTCTTAAAAAATACAAGTAAATAAATATGTAATTTTAGAGCAAACCAAATATTACTGAGTCTGGACTTTTCTCTGACACCAGTTGCCTCAAAAATTTCCAAGTGTGAGACTCATTAACCCCAAGCCAAGCTTTGTTTTGGAGCTTGCAGGGTCAGCAGCAAGTGCCTAAGTGCACCTTACACAACTCCCCTGGCCTCTCATCAGACAATCACTGTTTATATCCTTTCAAAGAGTTTCTGACGAGAGTCTGTTTCATGCCTTCAGAGGACTGTGGCCAACACTACCTGGCCCAGTGAAATCTCCTATATCCCTGCAGTAAGCACAAGCACGACATCCATGTCATGATGACATAGGGCTGATTGGCTGCAGGTTCTCTTGTGCACCAAGGAGATGGCCTCCACAGCCGGCCTGCTTTCCTCTGCTCTCTTTCAGGGCCCTGCACAACCTGCTGGGTCGGTCAGAGGGGTCCCTCAGTCCAGCTGTTGTTTCCTCTGGGTTGTAACATTTCTTCCCCTTCAGGAAATGGCCAGAGTCCAGGAGGACAGTACCCTAGGAAGTACTGGTTATTCTAAACATAATGTATACCCAGGAACCTCCAACACCAAGAAAGACCTTGAGCCAAACAGGAAAACAAATTCGTTAAGCAATGCAACAGCCACTTATAAAATTCCTATCTACACTGCTTGCATTTCCCTCCTTAAGGTGCCTCTCTGCCAAAGACTATATATTCTTTTAGAGCAGTTCCAGCTCTTGGTCTTTCTTGGTCAAAGCATCTTAGAATAAATGATTTGTCAAGGACCGGAGGGCCCCCCAAAAGTACCTCCTCACTAGTAACAAGATGTGACAGTTCAAAATTTTACCACCAAGAATGAGACCCAGACATGGGAACTCAACCAGTGTAATACTGAAGGCCAGTCAAATAACTCCACTTCTTTGGGATCACTTTTTCATCGCTTTTGGTTACCATTTCTTCCTCCTATCCTTTCCCTGGAGACTTGTATTGAGGCCCTGCCATGAGCTAGGTCAAGTTCATTAGATTCATTATTCCAGTTAGTCCTCACGCAGCTCCGTGATCATTCTGTTTTATAGCCAAGTGAACTGATGCTCAGTCCTTTGCACACTCACATGTGACAGGCTCCAACTCAGGGGCTTCCCCTCCTAGGAATGAGCCTGATACTGTGGCAGGCAACTTGCATTTTCAAGGCAAAGCACAACCATCATCTGTGAATTCTGCTTACAATGAAGATGTGACTTCAGAACAGCTTCCACCCAAAATAGCTCATAAGAGGCAATTAAAAGGAATGGTTGGAAGCTGGAGGTATAGCTCGGTGGTAGAGCATATATTTGCATGCCTTAGGCTCTGGCTCCAATCCCCAGCAGCAAGAAAAAATAAAAGAGAGATAGGTTTTATTAGCACGTTTATGTTCTATGCTTCATGGATATTTGATGAACAATTTTAAATCATTTTCCAGAGGGGCTGGAGATGTAGCTCAGTGATAGAGCATTTACCTCACACATTTGGGGCCCTGGGTTCCATTCCCAATACTGCCAAAAGATAAAAAAAAAATCATTATCTAGAGCCAGCCTTCTAAGAAGAGTTTATCACCATTTATTATTTAGTCATGGGGACACTGGGGGCACTGCACTCTGCACTGGTTTCTGAGAAGCCCACCAGACCGTTCATTCAAGAAATGTAAAAGGGCAATTGTAAATGGATCCTTTTCTGAGGAAAAATTGAAGTGCTGCAAGATTCTGGTTCTAATAAAGCAGAAACACAACAGAATCTACAGCCAAGGGAACATGGTGTTGCTAGGGGCATGTGCTTGTGCTGAACGTTTGGTTAACTACCATTATGTTCCACCACCCACTCCACTTTTAGATAAAAGAGGGCAAGAAAACAGGAGCACAAGTGAGAAAAAAGAGGAGAATCAAAGTTTCAAAGTTTCTCTTTGCTAAGAAAGGATGGTTAATGGATGCTGTGGTGCAGCTGGACAGGATGAATCATTTCTAGTCTTGTACAGCATAGCAAGATAATGCTGCTTAACAACAATTAAGAATAGTTCAAAATAGCTACTAGAGAGGATTTTTATTGCTTCCAACACAAAGAAATGATTAATGTTTGAGGTGATGGATATGCCAGTTTTCCTGATCTGATCATTACACATTGTATGCATTTATTGAAATGTCATACTGTGCCCCATGTACAATTATTATGTACACCAAACAAAAATTAAAAATATTTTTAAATGTCTCTTTTTTTTGGAGAATGCAAAAAGAGAACTAGGGATGGGAACCAGTTCTGCTCAGATGAGGTTTCTCACTAATTTCTTCGGCTTAGGTAAGAACAGGGGCACATAGTTGTCATAGCAACAGCAATACTTGGAGCTCTTGGTGTCCACAGGTAAGAAATCAGTTTTCCCTGCCTTGACCCCAGTCTTCCTATGCTAATGGCTTGTTGGAGGGTGGGGGCTGGAGTGACTGGGGGCCCCTGACTGCTTCTGTCAGGCAGTGCTCCACCCACCAGGACATATTTGCAAAAGGCTTCCTTCTCCTAGGAGAGCAGTGTCAGGAGGACGGGAACACTCACATGTGCCTACTCTTCTGATCCTCTGTGGGTCCCAGAAGGGAACAACGGAGCCCTATGTCTGGACATCCTGCTCTAAACACCTCACCCTAGAGTGAGAGCCACAGGCTATAACATGCTGTGTGCACTCAGTGCCACATCATGTGTTTGAATAGGACTGTGCTCATCCAGCCTGTGGGAGTCTGTTGAATTGCCCTGGCAGCCAGGCCCACATCTGCCAAGCTTGGGTCCAGCCCTGTCCCTCCCTCCACCCACACAGTCTTGACCCTACCTCGTTGATGGCCAGCTGCTCGCCGCCCCCTCCAGGGTGGCTGTAGTGGTGGCCAGAGCTGTGCAGGTCTTCATACAGGTCCTCCTCACTCCCCGCCTCCTCAGCGCGGACAGTCGTGTCCAGAACTCCATCCGGCATGGCTGGAAGCAGAGATAGCAGCTGGCAAAGGGGAGTGGGCTTGAAGGGCAGAAGGTGGACATGCAGAAAAGGAGCCAGATGATTTAGGACCAATGGTCCTTTTGTGAGAGGACAGACAAGGTCCAGGAGCTAATTTTTCAAACCATCCTTACTGCAGAACTGTGGACTGGTTGAAGGCACACACTGGCTGGATCACACACCGCTGCCAGTCACCTGCCACTCAACCCACAGCAACCTGGCAGACAGGGAGACATGGGATTTCCCCATGGTCAGTGCTCAAGAGCTCCTCCCGCTGAACTCAATTAAAAACCATTTACCAGTATGTCCACCATAGAAGACCTTTAGGAAAAATGTGTTCAAATGTTGTTATGTTGTACAGTTGGCTCTCTGTATGTGTGGGTTCTTCATCAGAGGATTTAACCAACCTCAGACTGAAAATATATATTTTTAATTGTGTCTACACAGACCATGTCCAGACTTTTTTTTTTTTGTCATTTTCTTCTGAACATAACAGTTTAACAACTATTTACATAATATTTACATTGTATTAGGTATTGTAAGTAGTGGTCATCTAGAAGTGATTACGTAGGCATGCTAGAAGTGTAGGTCCAGCTCACCATGCACCAGGTCCTGGGACCAATCCTCATCACCCAAAACAAACAAAAAGTATACAGCAAGCTCTGTGTAAGTTCTATGCAAATACTGCACCATTTATACAAAGAACTTGGGAGCATCAGTGGATTCTGGTATCCATAGGGTGTCCTGGAACCAGTCCCCTGTGGATATAGAGGAATACCTATCTATATGTTTATGTGTCTAGTCAAAGAAAATATACAGCAAACACATGCAAATATAGTTTGAAATTTAAAAGGGTGCATCTATTGATATGCTTAACACTGTAATTCTAGAATTTATCTCCTGTTTGCATCACTCCAATCCCATTTTCTGTCTCTTTTAGAGATATCCAATAGTTTGAAATTTTTTTTTTTCAGACTATTCCCATTGAAGGTGGTGCACACATGTAGTCCCAATGACTGGGGAGGCTGAGGAGGGAGGAACTCAAATTCAAGGCCAATCTCTGAAACTTGGAGAGAACTTATATCAAAAATTAAAAAAAAAAAATCACTCCTACACCTTTGTGTTAGCATGTTTTTGTTGAGTTTTGCCTGTTTTTTTTTTTTTTTAACCAACCTCAGACTGAAAATATATATTTTTAATTGTGTCTATACAGACCATGTCCAGACTTTTTTTTGGTCATTTTCCCCTGAACATAACAGTATAACAACTATTTACATAATATTTACATTGTATTAGGTATTGTAAGTAGTGGTCATCTAGAAGTGAATTTGCCTGGTTTTGACTTTATATAAATGGAACTATCCATCAGCTATTCCCTGGCTGGCTCTTCTCACTCCTCTGCCTGTGTAGCTGTGATGGATTCACATTTACTGAGGCACAGGCTTGGGTTTTATGAATATTTCATGTATTGTGTATCCGCTGTACTGCTGGGGAAAGATGGGTTGTTTCCTGTGTTGTTGCTGATGTGGATGATGCTGCTGTTAGACACATTTACACACCTCCTGGGCACATGACCAGGACTTTTTCTAGGACAGTGTTTCTCAACCTTGTTTTCATTATTGCCCCCTAATGAGCCTTTAACACAGTTTTCTTAATCCCATCCTGCCTCCCATGAAATATCAATACCATAGGTATACTGTGTATTGCTCACATTATGTGGCTCTTTTGAGGGCCACGGGCCATTGTAAATAGCTGTTTTTTGCTCACTTTTGGAGAAATCAGCCCACCTAGTGTGAATACATGCTCTACGGTAAAGACACCTAGGTGTGGCTTCTCTGGGTCCTGGGTAACTTAAGCAATTTCCTGAAGCTATTGTACCAACTTAGACTCTCAGCAGTGGAATATTAATATTCAGATTGCTCTACATCCTGGCCAACTCTTGGGATGGGCAATATCAAGCAGCTTTTGAGAGACTAATGGGTATGAAGTGATATCTTACTGTGGTTTTAATTTACATTTCTGATCACTAATGAGTTGAGCATTTTATCTATACTTTATGTCATTTGTTTCCTTTAATGTTTAAACACCTATGAATTTTACTCATTTTTCATTGCACTATCTTTAATATATATACATATGTATATGTATATGTATATGTGTATATCTATATCTATCTATATCTCCATCTATATCCTCCCATTTTGGATGGGATGCAAAAACAAATGGATTTTGTGTCACAACCATTCTCCCCTGATTTGTGGCTTATCTTTTTTTTTTTCCCTTAATTTCCTTAAATTAATACTGGGAATTGAACCAGGGGTGCTTTACCATTGAGCTACATTGCAGCTCTTTTTAAGACAGGGTCTTGCTAAGTTGCTGAGGCTGGTCTTGAACTTGTGATTCTCCTGCCTCAGCCTCCAGAGTCACTGGGATTACAGGCATGCAATACTGAGCCCAACTGTGGCTTGTCTTCGTCAGTCTCCTTTTTTTTTTTTTTTTTAACTTTTGATGAGCTGAAATGCTGAAATTTTGATATAGACAAACCTGTCAGTCATGTCCTATGTGATTTGTATTTTTTGTATGTTTAGGAAATTTTTCCCTATCTCAAAGTCATACAGATGTTATCTTTCCATGTTTTGTAGGTTTTTTTTTTTTTTTTTACATGTAAGTTTTAAGTCTACCTGCAAATGATTTCTATATATGGTCTGAGGTAGGAATCCGATTTCATTTTTTTTCTGTAAGAATAATTAATAGTCTCTGCACCATTTGCCAAATAGGTGAACCTTTCCAACGAATCTATTTCTGTTCTTGTTTTAAATCATGTTTCATGTGGATGGGTCTGTATCTGGGCTCTGTTCTTGTGGTAGGCAGAATAATGCTCTCTACAATATGAAAAATATCTTATTCGGAGCCTGTGACTATGTTATGTTACGTGACAACAAGGAATTAAGGTTTCAGATGGAATTACGGCACTATCAGCTGACCTTGAAATAGGGAGATTATCCTGGATTATTTACATGGGCCCAACAAAGGTGACAGTATTAAGACTGTCTTCTGACATATTTGCTCCCTTGTGCAAGCCTTATCTGATCCCTTCCTCCAGGAACTAATGCTGCCTCTAATTTACTTTTTTCTGCATTGTGTTAGCTTCTCTCCCCACCTAGATTGTGAATTATTTGAAGGCAGTAGCCATGCCCTTTTCCCTGATGTTGATATTCAGTCAATGTTAGATAAATAAAAAAGTGAACAGATGGAAGGATGGTGGCTAGATAGAGACTAAATATAGGAATCATAGGAATTAAAAAATGGAGAGACGAGACTGGACATGATGGCATTTGCCTATTATCCCAGTGACTGGGAAAGCTGAGGCAGGAGGATTGTAAATTCCAGGCCAACATGGGCAACTTAATGAGGCCCTAAGCAACTTAACAAGACTCAAAATAAAAAAATGAAATGAGCTACTGGCTGTAGCTCAGTGGTAAAGCATCCCTGTCTCAAAATAAAAGGGGAATGTAGGTCCATAGTACAGTGTCCCTGAGCTCAATCCCCAGTCCCCTTAGGAAAGATGGATGTGTGGATGCAAGAACAAATGGAAAGCTAGAGCACGAGTGGCCTGGCAGAGCTAATGCCAAGAACACTGAAGCTTCATGCATGTAGCTGCATATGGACAAAAGTATGGTGAAAGGGTACCCGGGAAGCCCTCTTTCTCTAGCCTGGCAGCTGTGGCTGAGCTCAGTTTGCAAGAAGAAGTCAAGGACCTTGCTCCTGACCTTGTACACAGTCAAAAGTACCAAGTCCACCCCCATAATTTTTATTTCATTTATGTTTTAAAGTTGTTTCGTTATGGAATGCTTCTACTATATACAAAGGGAGAAAAACAGTACAAGGAATCTTGTATAACCAGTGTCCAATTTCAACAATTCTCAACATGAATTTTGTTTCATCATCTAATTGTCCTCCCCACTGGATGATTTTTCCCCCCACTGGATGATTTTTTAAAGCACATTCAAGACATGGCATGATTCCATCTGTAAACACTAAAGTATATGTTTCTAAGAGAGAAATATTCTATCTCTGTTTTTTTTTTTAAAAAAAAACGTAATCTCAGACACATCTAAAACAGCAATCTATCAAAGATTGTCAAAGTGCCATGTAATCTCTTCTAGGGTGTTTAAAAACTTTACTTGAAATAAAGATTTTGGGTTATAAGGTAGTACAACTAGTACAGAGAGATTCTATGTATCCTTTACTCAGTTTCCCCCAATGGATATTGCATGTAAGTCAAGTACAATATCACAGCCAAGAAAAGGACTCTGGGGAAATGTGTGTGTAAAGTCCTATGTCATTTTATCAACTATCTGGATGTGTGTATCCATCACAGCAACCTATATATACATTTTTTATTTTTTGGTACCAGGGATTGAACTCACAGACACTCGACCACTGAGACACCTCCCAGCCCTATTTTGTATTTTATTTAGAGACAGGGTCTCACTCAGTTGCTAAGCACCTCACCATTGCTGAGGCTGGCTTTGAACTCGAGATCCTCCTGCCTCAGCCTCCTGAGCTGTTGGGATTACAGGTATGCGCCACGACACTTGCCTGTATGTAAGCTTTTGAGGTTGGCCTTTATCACTCAGTCACTTCCCTTGATATCCATTCAACTTGTTGTATTATAGTTTCATTTATTGCTGATTAGTGTTTCATGATATATCACAGTTTAACCATTCACCTGTTTAAGGATAGATTGGTCGGTCATTTCTAATTATTGGCTATTATGAATATAGCTGCTATGCATATTCATGTGCAGGGTTTTGTGTGAACATAAGTTTTCATTTATCTGTGATAAATGCCCAGGAGTGAATTGCTGGGTCCTATGGTAGTGAATACTTAGCTTTTAAGAAGTAAAATCACTTTTCCAGACTGTACCGTTTTACATTCTAACCAGCAATGTATGAGAGACAGTTTCTTTGAAACTGTACCA